GATGAAATCTGCTAGCACTTGCCCCTTGATGGCTGGTCGTGGGGCGTACTCAATGTCGTATTCGCTGAGCTCGACCGCCCATTTGGTTAACCTGCCTGACGCGTCCATTCCTCGCATGACGCTTTTTAGGGGTAGGTTCGTTAGTACTGTGACGGGGTGTCCCTGGAAGTACGGTCGTAGCTTTCGGGCCGCGGAGGCGACCGCGAGGACCGCCTTCTCGACGGGCATGTACCTCGTCTCAGCGGGAAAAAGTGCTTTGCTCACGTAGTAAACCGGTTGGTCAGTGCCTTCCGGTGTTTGTCGTACTAGGGCTGAGCTAACCGCTTGCTCCGACACTGCCAGATAGAGGTATAACCTTTCTCCTTCGACCGGGGCGCTCAAGATTGGAGGGGAGCTGAGTTGATTCGTCAGCAGAGTGAATGCCTTGTGGCATTCGGTGCCCCATTGTAGTCTTGAGGCTGACTTTTTCAGCATTTGGAAGAAAGGGGAGCACTTGTCTGCTGACCGTGGGATAAATCTTCCCAGGGCGGCCATCTTGCCGTTGAACGCCTGGATTTCCTTGATTGTCTTCGGCGGCTTTAGATTCCGGACGGCCTCTATCTGCTTTGGGTTGGCTTCTATCCCCCGCTTCGTGATCATGAAGCCGAGGAACTTTCCCGCTTCGGCTCCGAAGACGCACTTCAATGGGTTGAGCCTCAGGTTTTTCCGCCTCAGAGTGTCGAAGGTCTCCCGCAGGTCGGATAGATGATCGCCGGACTTTTTGCTCTTTACCAAGACGTCATCTACATAAGCTTCAACATTTCTTCCCATTTGGTCTTTGAAGACCGCATCGACCATACGCTGGTAGGTTGCCCCCGCATTTTTGAGTCCGAAAGGCATGACAACATAGCAAAAATTGCCCATTGGTGTCATGAATGCGGTTGATTCTTGGTCGCTTTCTGCCATTTTGATTTGATGGTAGCCCGAGAACATGTCTAAGAAGCTGAGCGCCTCATGATTGGCGGTTCCATCAATCAACTGGTCGATGCGGGGTAGAGGGTATGCATCCTTTGGGCATGCGGCGTTAAGGCTGGTGAAGTCGATGCACATTTGCCAGGCACCCCCAGCTTTGCGCACGAAGACCGGATTGGAAAGCCACGTGGGATATTTTACCTCTCGAATGAATCCCGCGCTGAGTAGCTTTCGCACCTCTTCCTCTAGTGCCAATTGTTTTTCCACGGATAGGTGTCTTCGTCGTTGCTGTATTGGTCGTGCTTTGGATTTGACCGAGAGGTGGTGCTCAGAGACCTTGCGGGGGACGCCTGGCATGTCTTCCGGTCCCCACGCGAAGAGATCCTGGTACTCTCTAAGGAGCTTCTAGGCCTCTTCTTCATTCAGGTGGGCTGAAATGCGTACCGTCTTGTTCGGTTGCTCTTCATTCAGGGGGACCGCCACGTCTCCCTCCACGGCTTCTGGACGCGGGACATCGTCTCTAGCGTCCACCAGATCGACCTCAAGACGCTCGATGGTTGCTTGGTAGCATTCCTTTGCTTCCTTCACATTTCCTCGAACGCGTCCCGTTTGTCCCCCACTGGGGAATTTCAGCATCTGGTGGCACGTAGACGCAACCGCTTCAAACGAAGCTAGAAAACCGCGTCCGAGGATGGCGTTATACGCCGAAGGACAATCTGCCACATGGAATTCTACCAGCTTGGTCTTGGTGATCCCGCCTTCGCCTATGGTGACTCTGAGGGTGATTGACCTGAGGACGCGGACCTTTGTTCCTGAGAATCTCACCAAGCTGGTGTTAGAGGGATTGAGGTCTTGAACACTCTTTTTCATGCCCCTAAGTGCCGAGTAGAAGAGAATATCGGCGGAGCTTCCGTTGTCGACCAGAGCACGCGTGACTTTATACTTGTCCGTTCTGAATGAAATGACAAGTGGGTCTTCAGAGTTCTCCTCTTTAGCCAATTCCGAGGGTTGAAAAGTAACTTCTGTGGGCACTCTTCGTTGAACGCTGAGGCAATGGCTTAGGCGGTCTGCTTCCGATCTCGGGCGCTTTCTGCCCCTAGCGATTGTGATGATTTCCATTCCGTCGTCATCTCCCCGTTGTGCTCGGTAGGCGGGAGACTGTCTTTGGGGAGAGATGGCCTTGTTCCTTGTGGGTGACCTGGATCTCTCCTTACGGGGCCTCCTTGCCTTATCTGCTTCGGGGGCTACGGGAGGCGGCCCGCGTCTCTTGGGAGCGGTCACGGTGAGTGCGTCTTGTTTCCAGGCGGCTGCGCAGGTCGCCAGGAGCCAAGTACTTCAGGCTAGCTTTGAACTCCCTACACTCGGTGGTGTCATGGGTAGTTATCTGGTGCCAGTCGCACCATTTCTTCCCCTCCGATGGCTCTGGGCCGTCGTGTGCTTCAGACTTCCTTCCGCCTCTTCGCCTTTCTCTTCCCCTCTCGCGGTCTGTCGAATATACTTCCTTTTTGCCTTCACGGTCGGAGTACCGATTGCGATATGACTTCCGCTCTGGAGACCGCCTTTCGCGCCGAGTATCTGTACGGCCTGAGGGGTCATGTCGGGAACGACCTTGATGGCTTCGATCGTCTGTGGCTAATGCTTCCTCGAGCAGAATGGCTCGTCTCACCAGTTGGTCTAGGTCTGACCATGATGTGAGCTGGGCTTCCTTCTTGATCAGGGTTCTTTTGAGTTCAATACTGGTGGTGGATATCCTTAAATTGCCAGCGGCTACGACCGAGGATATACCATCTATTTCGCAGGCGATCGCATTCCATCGATCGTAGAAGTCCGCTAGGGACTCCTCCTTCTTCTGTCTGCAATTGATGAGCGCCGAGACGATGAGCTTGCGGCGTCTTTGGGATGCAAACTTCGTGGAGAAGAGCATTGCGAACTGCTCGAAATTTTCTATTACTCCTTCCGGGAGCGAGGTGTACCACGTACGACACTGACCGCCAAAGGTTACTGGAAACGCCTTACATAGATGAGAGTCTTCTGCGTTTATGAGCTGCATCGTTAGCATAAAGGCACAAAGGTGGTCTGCGGGATCCGAAGTCCCATTATACGTTGGTAACCCGAGGGAAGAGAAGTTCGGCGGTACGGGGGTTTTGAATAGCTCCTTCGATAGGGGATTCTGAAGCACGTTCGGGCTTTTATGCTTCCCGTAGGTCGACCGCAGATGCTCTTCAAGGTAGCCCAGGTCCGCTTCTTCCGCCTCCGGTTCCCCGCCTTCTGTCCGAGCAGGGCTGTCTGGGATCAGGACGGCCTTCTGCTTCTCCTCTTGTGCTCTTCCTTTGGAACCTTCGGCAGGGTCTTCTTTTGTCTTTAAGAGTTGGAGGATTTGGGACAGGCTGTCCTGCATGCTTGCAATTTGTACGCCCTGGCTTTTGACTACTTCCTCGAGCTCAGCCTCATCTTCCACTCTTGGCGATAGACCTCGGAGGGTGTGATTCTCGGTCATTCCCTTGAGGGGAGTTTCGAAATCGTCGCCCATCCTTCTTTCTTGACGAAGTCGTGAGGCCCCACGGTGGGCGCCAAAATGTTTGTGCCTGGTTGGTCCCAGGCGGTTTGTGAGGCTTCACTGGCTTCGTGCGGTCCGGACGGGTGAGCGGCGGTCCTCGAAACCCTGCAAGAAAGGTCCTCAGGGGTGTCCTGGGACCTCCTTCGATGCCTAAGTTAGAGAGAGAAGTGATCTGAGAAATGAATAAGAGAGAGAATATAGTCGATAGGAGTTACCATAAATGCTGCCCTCAATGAACTATTTATACCCACTTAGAATAGGGGTCTGAGCATTTAATGCGGTGTCAGCAGTCTGAGCCGCCGCAGAGCTCATTAAATGCCTTGTCAGTACGAATGTCTGACTTCCTTAGTCCATCAGAGCTTTGGTCCTTCTGTCGGGCGGCCCACTGACGTGAGCGTACGTCATTGTCGGGCGGTCTCTATGGATAAGATCATAGTAGACCGCCCTAGCCCAGTATGGCTTTCTATGGGCTTTGTAACCATGGGCCTCAGGCCCACGTATGTTAATACTTGGCCCAACAAGAACCAACCTCTCAGAGTCAATCGTATAAGCTTATGGAATTGAGTTCTTGAGTACAACAGAGGCGGCTGTCAACACATATATACCTAGCCGCCCTAATCCAACTAAGGCTCTAAACGTAATTAAGCAAACTACTACATAATTACATATTGCTACACAAACTTCTAACTTCTAACAGCCCCAACCCCGCAGTAGTGTTTTAGAGCTGTTTCTGATAATGGTCTAACAATCCTTGCAATCGGATGAGCTTCGTGCATGGATTGAATCTGTTTATTTTGTGAAAGGTCAAACTAGAGATTAATATATGGAATGGCGTATCAGGTAGTGAAAATAAACCTGGTTTATAGGATGCATCATGCAGGCCTCTGTTCCTTCGTGCATCCGTGCTTTATTTATCCAGTCGGTTTGTGCATCGTTTTGTTGGTATGAGAAATACTGCCTGCGGACCTTTATTCATTCATATGGTAACATGAGAAGCAAACAATGAAACATGGGCGTACTACGGAAAGAGCCCATTCGGAGGGTTTAACCGAGCGGAAACGACAGCAACCACCATCGTTTGTGGTCAAGAATGCGGTGACGAAGAATGGGAGAGAACAATCCCCGTTCGTTCTTAATTTTAATAATTTATAATTTTATTTTATCTCTTTAATAGTTAGAAATGAGGTGGAAATTTTAAAAAATTAAATTTTATTTATTTAATTATTTTTTAATTGCCACGTCACACATTTAACGGTCAATTTTTAGAGTTGACTGCCACGTAAGCAAAAGTTAACGGACTTGGACGGAGAGTGACCAAACGTGAACGGTTTCAACAAACTGAAGTACCACCAATGGATTTAAATATTTCTAGTGACCAAACTTAAACGTTTTTTGTAATCTCAGAGACCAACCATGCAATTAACCCTTATTTGGAGATTAGAATGCCCTAATGATCATGGTGACGTCATCGTCATCGAAGAAAGTGTTCTAAACTAATCACAATTCTTCATTTCATGCATCCTTTTAACCTTGAAATGCTCTACTTTGAGATTGGATCAGAAAAGCTTATTATATTGTGGATCATCTGTAATTTGCAGCATCACGTCTAATCAGCGCGTGTGTTGCTTAGATACATCTTTCTGATACACAATTCATCCATATATATCTCTATATATCAAATACAAGCATAATCCATCAAACAATTACATACAAATATATATACACACATGATGCGAACCCAAATCAGGCCCAGTTATCAACAAAACGGGACAACAATCATCACTCAACTCAAAACAGAGAGCCAAAGAGAACAACTTGCCAGAAATCATCATACTGAAGCTTTACTTACGCCGCATCCTCTTCCTCGTCCTCGTACTCCTCGTCGTCCGCCGTCGCGTCCTGGTACTGCTGGTACTCAGCCACCAGGTCGTTCATGTTACTCTCCGCCTCGGTGAACTCCATCTCGTCCATCCCCTCGCCAGTGTACCAGTGCAAGAAAGCCTTGCGCCTGAACATAGCCGTGAACTGCTCGCTCACACGCCTGAACATCTCCTGGATCGAGGTCGAGTTGCCGACGAACGTGGAAGCCATCTTCAGCCCTTTCGGCGGGATGTCGCAGACGCTGGACTTCACGTTGTTCGGGATCCACTCGACGAAGTATGAAGAGTTCTTGTTCTGGACATTGATCATCTGTTCGTCGACTTCTTTGGTGCTCATCTTGCCGCGGAACATCGCCGAGGCAGTGAGGTACCGGCCGTGACGCGGATCGGCTGCGCACATCATGTTTTTGGCGTCCCACATCTGCTGAGTCAGCTCCGGGACTGTCAATGCACGGTACTGCTGCGACCCTCTGGAGGTCAAGGGGGCGAACCCAACCATGAAGAAATGGAGGCGAGGGAACGGGATGAGGTTTACTGCGAGCTTCCTGAGGTCAGAGTTCAGCTGTCCAGGGAATCGAAGGCAGCATGTCACACCACTCATCGTCGCAGAAATTAAGTGGTTCAGATCGCCGACTGCAATAAGATAATGGGGGAAAAGGAGTCAGCTTTATCTCACTCGCCATGTGTACAGATACCAAAATATGGCAGACATTTATATATATAATCAATAAGGTTAACATGTTGAAAGGACGGATTAACAGCATCGGATTGCACAATCTCAGCTGTTAATTGGTATATACGGGCAAAATCTTATGATATGCATCTAATGATCGAGATCACAAGTTGCATCCATACTAATGCCCACGCTTCAATGTATTAACAAAACCCATATAATTCAAATACCAGTGATTAGCCACCAACCCAACTCACTCATTCTCAAATAACAGTGACTTAACATCCCATAATCAATCAAACCCACTGCATTTAACCTGCAATGATACTGACATGCCACCAACCCAACACACTCATTCTCAAATATCATCGACATTAGTGAACATGGTATCAATCAGGGAAGGTGAACAAGACTATCCAATAACTAATGTAGTCAAATCCTCAACCAACATTCTCTCGGGGAAATGGCTCAGTGCAACGAATTCCAAAAAGCAAAGCTTCATACAATTGAGAGGAATGATTGTATGTATGACTTACAAGTTGGGGTAGCAAGCTTGAGGGTACGGAAGCAGATATCATAGAGGGCCTCGTTGTCCAGAACCATACACTCGTCGGCGTTTTCCACGAGCTGATGAACGGAGAGCGTCGCATTGTATGGCTCGACAACTGTATCGGAAACCTTAGGAGATGGGAAGACGGAGAAAGTCAGCATCATCCGATCAGGGTATTCTTCCCTGATCTTGGAGATGAGAAGCGTTCCCATCCCAGAACCAGTGCCTCCCCCCAATGAATGACAAACTTGAAATCCTATTCAACCGGGGGGAAAAAAAACAGGGCCACAGTAAGCTAGAGAGGATTTTAGCCGGATCCCTAGCGGAATTCAACAATTGGGGAAAACGAAAATTTTGAAATCGGAGAGAGAGAGAGAGAGAGAGAGAGAGAGAGAGAGAGAGAGAGAGAGAGCGGAAATTGAGACCTTGGAGGCAATCGCAATTCTCGGCCTCCTTCCTGACGACGTCAAGAACGGAGTCGATGAGCTCGGCGCCTTCGGTGTAATGGCCTTTGGCCCAGTTGTTGCCGGCGCCGGACTGGCCGAAGACGAAGTTGTCGGGCCTGAAGATCTGGCCGAAAGGACCGGATCGAACGGAGTCCATGGTGCCGGGCTCCAGATCCATGAGGACGGCACGGGGGACGTACCTGCCGCCGCTGGCCTCGTTGTAGTAGACATTGACGCGCTCGAGCTGGAGCTCGGAGTCGCCGCTGTACTTGCCGGTGTGGTCGATGCCGTGCTCGTCGCAGATCACCTCCCAGAATTTGGCCCCGATCTGGTTGCCGCACTGCCCGCCCTGGATGTGAAGGATTTCTCTCATTTTTTTTTCTTTCGTAAATTGTAATTGTTTTTTTTCTGGGGAAAGAGACGAAAAACGGCGGTTGATTGGGGGAGAAAGAAAATGAAGTGATCGGGGCAGGGAATAGGGATAGCAGGTTGGAGGGAATGCGGAAATTGGGGGGGAAAAAGTGTGGCGGAGATATAAAGCGGGGAGTTCCCCACTTTAGAATTTGTAGTTTTTTAAAACTTTTTTCTATTATTTATCAAATTAGTTTTTTTACAGGCTTAATTTTCTAATTTATTTCTTCTTCTTTTTTTCCTGGGGAATGAATACCAGGTTTATGATTTAGGGGTACCAACTCCAAATTCCAATCCACTATAGATTTATTAGTATGAATTTTCATGTTTGCTTAGGTGGGGCTTCAGATAGCCACACAACTTATCTTGTGTCGAAGATGCGTTCTAAAGCTACATAACTTATCTTGTGTAAAGTAATTTACATAATTATTCTATTAATTATGAAAAAATTAAAAGTAAATTAAACAAGATAGTAAATTAATGTATGTTTTTTTTTAATAAACAAGTAATTTACATGTTATCACAAACGACTTTTATAGTTGTCGTCATTTTTTTATGTACTCTCAACCACTCTATGAAGCCATTAACAGGTCTGTCGGGTAGCTATTCATTAGTATCGATCGACATCTTCGAAAATTCTGTAAAGTATTTCAAGCCATATACATTATAGAATTCCATGAGCTACATCTCAATTATCCATACATGAGCCGGGGAGAGGGACTATAGCCTTACAACCTAATCTATTTTCCAAATTTGTTACAAAATTTACACGTAGATTTACACAATTTTGAGAGTTGAGCCGGGGGGGGGGGGGGGGGGGGGGGGGGGGGGGGGCTAAGCCCCTCCTGGGCCATGGCTCCGCCACTGGTTTTGTCCACCCTTATACTTCGTCATATTACCTTCTCCCTCCTCCATTGTCTCTCAGACTCTCACCCACAATCGCTCCAACTCCACTAATTGAATCAATTCCTTCTTCGCCTTTGCCTCTCTTAGCTACCGATTTAGTTTCGAGTTTGTCCTCCCAACTACCTAGTTGATTTCAAATTGATTGCTCCTCCACCCTGGCGATCCATTCTTACATCCTTCCCTATATGTCCTATGTCCTCCGCTCTGCATTCTACAATGACCACCTCTCATCGTCCTCAATTCAACACTTATCATTGCCTTATCCCCTATTCGCATGCTCTCCCTCTTGCCCACCGTCCTATTAATCGAGCCCAGATCGGACACCTTAAAACTGTAATAGTTGAGTTTGTCCTTTGCGTTGATTGCCTGCGTTGTTGCGACTTCAGTTGTGGGTTTCTCCATCAACAAAATGACAAAGGAAAACTGTTTCACCGTGGAAACTTCGTGGTGTAGATGGATTGATTGTGCCACTGACTTTTGGAAATCGAGATAAAAGTTTTTCGGCTCTCACCTCTCCGAACAATGATCGAACGAAAGTGTTTAAGGGGTTTTGGAATCTACGTTAAATTAGGCCTAGTCCTATGGAGATTTCTCAGGAGAGCTCCACGACTAAGACTACAATATGCCTATGGAGAATCCTTATTGGAAGGAGAGCTCCACGTTAAATTGTTTCGGTGTGATTTTTGTGTGTCATGTTCTTCACATCTTTGCTCCGTATTTTAAGTGAAGCATCCCGGTAGAATAACTCCTCCGTGCAACTGTCCCTATAACTCCTTGATTGTTGCGAAACCACATTGCACTCTGCCACCCACGTCGTCCATCGTTCTCCTCGAATTTGTGGTCCTCAACAACTCTGTTTCTCTTCACTATTCTTTGCGTGAGACTCATGAGTGATTCTGAGGGAGTCTTGTGAACACAGGGGTACAACAAGATTCAATTGTAGATCGCACCCATGACCGAACCACTTCTATATTTCAGCTAACCTGCAAGATAATTGAGTTGGCAAGGTTGTAAACAACCTTGAAACCATACCTGATCCCATGATGTTGTTGGACTAACGACATCTCAGCTTGAGAGTGGTGGCCCTTTTTCCTTCTCCATATTTGATTTGCTCTCTTTGTTCTTGAAGGAATCATCAAATGAGTGGGTTTTGGACACTATTGGATCACCATGCAACATTTTTCCTTTCATTTTCCTGTGGATTTCAACAAAAATAAAACAAACTATAAAAGAAACAAAACAAAGAGAGAGCAAGTGCTTCTCCTCCTGAACATAATTATGAAAATATAGCATAAAAAGTAAAAGAAAATATGGGTTGTGTCCTAGGTAGGACTTTGAGTTTACACTCTTAAGTTGGATGCCAGACATGGGTTGCCTCCGAAGAAGCGTTCTTTCTTTTATGTCTTTGAGCTAGGCATGACTCCTCACTCATTAAGCTCTCCAACTTAGGGATTCTTTGAAGTCCATCATTTTGATTGTAGGATTCAGTTTGTTGCCATCCTTCTTTAGGCTTGATGGTGTACCATGAAAAATAAACCACCTTAGTATCCACCTTGCACGTTTTACACTACACTTTGGTTTATGAGCATTGGAAATATGGTAGAGGTAACGATACAAGGAGGGACTCAGGTATTCCTCTCTTTGGGTTAGATATGACATTGCGGTCTCATGGCTCTACAAAAATGCTGCAAAGGGACCCACATCCAGGAGGAAATTGAGGCCCGGTTCACTCCATTATGTATCTCCACCAAGATATTACAATTTTCTTCATGGTCTTCAACTTTGGGAATGTCATCCTCCATCTTTCGAACAAGAGTTCCCTTGGAAATGATGAATTCCTTATGCTCTTCGCTTACTTCCTCTTGCTCAAAGTTTATCTTTTCCAAGGGTTGTGTAGATCCTTGAGAAGATTATGTAAAAGGATCTTAAAGGGATCCATCCATTTCAAGGCTTGAATCTTCTTTGCATAGAACATCATTGCTTAAAGTAGGTGAGATTGCTACTTATTTCCCTCTTCCATTGTTATAAAAGATGATATAGAGGATCCTTGTTCTCCAAGATCGAAGTTGCAATCTTCGTAAATTACTTCCTCCCAACTCGATTTGAGCTCAAGATGAGTGTGGCTTGAAATATCCTTTATTGAGATAGATGATTTTTCTTAATTGATGAAATCCTCCACGGTCTCTTGGATGGTGGGAATATCTTGCTCCTTTCCTTGCTTGGTTTTCCATGTTCGTCTGATCATTAGCTTCTGATAGATGGCCTCTTGAAGCTCCTTTTTTTTATTGGATATGTTAAGATGGTTTCTCTTCTAGTAGCTCTTCAACTTCATGCTCCATTTGAGAATGATCATCCTTATTTGAATTCTCCTCCACCTTATCTTGTTCAATGTTCGGTTCCAAGGGTTTTGTTAAACTTCATATAAGAAGGGTAGCGGAATCATCACACTCGTTCTCTTCCTCGTAGATGTTTCCAATGGTTGTGGATGCCTTGGTAGGTGGATTACTCGTGGATGCAGATTGAAGAAGGCGAGGAAGGTTTGAAATCCCTCGAGTGGTGTGAATCCTTCAACATCTTTCCATGAAGCTAAGAAGGTTGGGATTAGCATAAGTTCTTCAATAGTACATCCTTCTTCCTGCATTGCTACTTCTAGGTGCGGTATCTCATTTTTTGCTGCCAAAGATTGAGTTGTAAGATCATAGTCATCTTCATCAAAGTTATTAGCCTCCATATGATCGTTTTCTTGAGGTTCCTTGTTAGGTTGATCATTCTTATTGTCCTGGATTGGTTGGAGATGATCGATCATAGATCCCATGGTTGGTTGGACGCTTTCATTATGTTGTGAGTATCTTTCTTCATCCTTTGCATCTTCTCGAGGGGGTTTCTACTCTCTACCTTCTTCTTTCAAAGAATTGAGTTACTATTCTTCTTCATCATCCAATCATTGGCCTCGTTATGATCCTCCTCTCCATGGTCTGTGATATCTGAATATTCTTCCTCTTGTAATCAGTTGGCCTTGTGATGATCTTCCTTCTCTCCATGGTACACGAATTCTTCATGCTCCATAAAGCCTTATTGGTTTATGATCTCTCGAAAAACACTATGTATCTCATTGGAACATCCTTTATCAGCTTCGAGATGCTCCTCGATGATTTGAACATTATCTAGAATTTGCTTTGGCTCTTCATCATTGATGCTAACTGAGATGCTCCTAGAAGGTTCTAGATGGATAGTTTATTTGATGACTTCGTCGAGGGCAGCCGCAACTCCTCCATGTGTGTATCAACTCTGATTGGCTCCATCTTGGGTATCGATGGCTTCTTGCTTCTATTCCATTCCTGATATTTTTCATACGAGGAATGCCACACTTTCACTGACCTATGAAAATAAGCAGTGTTTGCATCCTCTTCTTTTAACCAGATCTCTCTAGACTTTTGCATGTAAAAGAATTCTTCAACATCTCTCAATTATTTAGCTTGTTGCTCAAGAAGATAGGAAGAAGGGAGTACCATAGCCAACCAGAACATGAAACAATTGATCGGTTTCAAGAAGCACACTAATCTTTACATTAGCCTTCAAAATAAGCCACAGCTTTCCCAAGCCATCAGAGTTATTAGCCACTTTAGACTCCCAACCAAGGAATCTTTATTTATCATCTTTTCTGCCTTACTTGCTCTTACCCTAGGTTCAAGCATAACTAAAATATCTATATTATGTCTATATACAAGTTGTTGAACAATTTTATTCATATTCGGGTCATTAAACCCCTGGATATTCCAAGTAAGGATCTTCATTTTCTACGACCACCTCTCCCTCCTTTTACAAGGGGGAAGCTGAGCCACAGGAGGAGTGTTGGGGTTCTTCTTGGAGCCCCAAATGTAATCCAATGATTGATTGACTCTTTAACTACTGGAGTTGTCTAAGATGAAGGCCTCCCATTGCCTGGTGATCCCCCATCAACAGACATTTGAGGAGGCGAGCTAGGACTACTAGTCTGATATGATGATCTCTGCACGACATTCGCAAAACTAACAGTTGCACTCACATTTGGGTGAGGAGTAAGAGTTTGCACTAGAGCAGGATCTGCTGATGTACCAAAGAGCTTGCAACCTAAGCATCATTTATATATTTTATTTTCCCAACAGTCATGGAAATCATTTGCTTATCCTTAACCTAAAGAATAGTCCTAAGACCAAAGCTCACAACCTGATTAATTGGGACAGTGCTAGCGTCCACTTCTTCTACCACAGCCTGATCAGTGATACCTGTAACGGAGTTGCTAGCCGTAACCTCCTTTACAATCCATTTCTTGTTAGCTTTAGCTAAGTAAGTGCATTCATGCCCATAGACAGAACATTCAAGACAAACCCTAGGCAGATTTAGATACTCGACCTCAACATCAAAGCACGAATCATCATCAGGATAGAGTCCAACCTTTGATGGGAACCCACACTCTGACTCAGTTGTGAGGTCAATATAGATCTTATCAAAACCCAGCTGGCCACCCACCCTAGTAGTCTTATCGATCCATAAAGGAGGACCAATCGTGCTTGACACCCATTCTAGGCCATCTAGTGAGCGGTATTCCAGCGAGATACCCCCGATATTGACCCAAATCAGAAGAGATTCTACCTGAGAACTACCGACTAGATACTTGGAGTCCACTTCTCGAGGTACAGCTGACTCCATTGGAAATGCCAGGGTCCAGAGTTGAACAACCATTTACTAGTAGTAGCAGACAGAAATTGGAAGACAAACAGGTGAGAACCAAATCGTAAGACACGAACCGCTCCCTCTCTCCCCCCGGATAGTAGTAGCCCAAGACTGCAATTAGGGATGGAATGGGTCGGGTCGGGTTTTGCTAAACTCAAACCCATGGGTTTATCCATAAAAAACCCGGGATAAAACCCAGTGGATTTGGAAAACTCAAACCCAGCCCAACCCGCTAGGTATTCGCGGGTTCATGGGTACCCATGGGTTTTTGTCGTAAAAAATTTACAATTACAAGTTCCTATGAAAATAAAAGTCAAATATCAATCTCTCAATACAAATTACCCATATATAAAACATCATTCTAGAAATTCAAGCAAATTACATATTAACCATCAAGGTTGTCAACCAGCGGGTCGACCCGCTTTGACCCTGACCCGGTGAGAAAAACGGGCCGCACGCACCCGCCGGGTCGACCGCTATAAGGTACCGGTTTGGAGGTCAAATTGTGCCATTTTTTTCTTTTTTTTGCGAAATGCGCCTATTTTCCGATTTTTCTTTTCGCCTAACTCAATCTTTGGAATCCTAAGTTGAACATTTGAATATTAATGTTATATAAGTGTGTGTGAATTTTCACTATATGTTGAATCTGAGTACGAAATGTTATTTTGGTGTAATATTATATGTTATAACTCATATGTTAGATGAGATTTGATATAATTTATCAGGATAAGTACAATATAATGACGTTTTCCATATTTACTAGCTAAACCGGGCTAAAACGGGTGACCCATTAACCCTTGACCCACTAGCTCAAACGGGTCCGAATCAACCCGCGGGTTGACAACCTTGTTAACCATACAAATTGTTCAACACCAATATAGAAAACTCAAGAAAATTGAAGCAAATCACAAATTATGCATAAACAACATGATTAATTGAAAGCTTCTTCCTCCTTGTTAATTAAACTTCTTTACTCTCCACTCCATAATATCAATTTCATTCTACACAACTAGAAATAAAAAATTAGACATGCCTTCACAAACATAAAGAAATATTAGTTGTTTAGAATATTAAATATAGAGGAAAAATTAATTATATGGGTATGGGCGGGTATACCTAAACCCAAACCCAACCCGATAAATAGTGAATGGATTTAAACTCGAACCCAACCCAAAACCCGTCAACACGAGTTTTACACGCGTTGACTGGGTTGGGTCGGATAGGGCAGGGGCGGAGCTCCACTCAAGCTAGGGTGCCCCTCCCCCCCCCCCCCCCCCCCCCGGGGGGGGATCGGTCCCGGACCCTACGATAGTAAGGATATTTAGTACATGTTTTATAATTAGAACTTGTTCCGTAAATTTTGTTGTGTAATAGTCATGTGGTCTAATGGTAGCCAAGCTTGACTTGTGTTTTAAAACACACTAGTTCGATCCACCTTAGCTACATACATTTTGTTTAATTATTCCCCCCCCCCCCCCCGGTCTAAAAATCCTGACTCCGCCCCTGGGGTAGGGTACTCATGGATTGACCCACCTTAGGATCTTGTTGCCATACATAACTGCAATTGACCCACCATAGGTTGAGATCCGACTATTCTGTTGCTATTTATTGCATCGTGAATTTTATGTTTTTTTTTTGCATAGCCAGGAGGCAGCAGCCAAGAACAAGAAGAGTTACAGGGAGAGATTAGATGGAAGAAGAAGAGCTAGCCACAACTCGGCTCTCAAAAGTAACACCTCTAATGTCATTTTGCAAAATCGAAATAACACCTGATGGGGGATTAGCCAGCTCATGCATACCGTAGGGATAGACGAGACTGTGCTTCGAGAGCCATTCCGTGACTCTATTCCCTTCTCGGTACGTATGAGCCAGACTAATCAATCAATCCTGACCAATCTTTCTACGAATAAGGCTCAGAAGGGTTGCATAAGGATGGATGGGGTCATGTCTCTCCTGAATTAACTGAATAGCCAACTGTGAACCTGACTCAAGCCTCACCACTCGAAAGCTGAGTTGCCAGGCCAACTGCAAACCATAAAGTATAGCCCAAAGTTCCGCTAAGTCAGCCGAGGTCGTACCCACATTGGCAACGAAGTCACCCAGCCAGTTGCCCAGCGAGTCTCGAATGATTCCCCCAGCACCTGCCGGGCCTGGATTGCCATTCGAGGCACCATCTGTGTTGACCAAAACCCAGCCCTCCGTTGGTGGCTTCCATCCAATAGCTGCCACAACTCGATCAGATTGTTGCTTCTTATGGTTGATGAAGAGCTCCGGAGCATGCCAAGAATCATTCCACAGTTTACTCTTGGTTAGGATGGAGTGCATAAGAGATGGAGCTGAAAGAGCCGCACTTACCCCTTTGAAAGCAACGGTTGTTCGATTTTTCCATAACAGCCAAATGACCATGCTGAAGAATCCCGGCCAACTAATGCCCGAACTGGTGGACTCTTTGCTGAACAAGTTACTGCGAAACCAAGCATCATGGTCAGCATTGAAGAACTCATGCTGCTTTTGCTGCGGAACAAGCCTGGACCAGAAGAAAAGTGCAGGCGCACAATCTCGCACTATGTGTAACACCGTCTCCGGGTGGCCTGTACAACGCATACAACAAGGTGACGTTACCACTTTCCTCTGAAAACCGAGGGCATTCGTAGCAATCCTCCCCTGAACTGCCAGCCAACAAAAGCCTCGAACCCGCTCCGGAACAGGTAGTCGCCATATCGTCCTCCAGATCGCGTCATCAGCCTGTTGATCATGCTTAGCGAGCAAAGCATACGCCGACTTCGTAGAGAATCTGCCGTCGGCAGACGGAGCCCAAAAAAGAGAATCCTCATTTTGAGACAGGTTGTCAACAGCTACACTTGTAATCTTGATGCAGACGTCCGGAGGGAGGAGCCCGGAGAACATTTCCATGCGCCAGCTGCCATCTTCACGAACAAAATCAGCTACTCTAGCTTCCTCCGCGGCCTCCGGTAATGCACTAGTTGCCAGCTCCTTAAGAGGCACCTGCAAAACCCATAAATCATTCCAAAATTTAGTTCTTTTTCCATTGCTAATATTCCACGCACATCCTTGCTTAAGGAGATCAGCAGCTTTCACAAAGCTATTCCAGGTGAAGGAACTTTCCTGTTTTTTCCGCAAGACCTCTAGTCCGGATCTTTGGCCGCCATACTTCGAAAGGAGGAGCTTCTGCCAAACATTCTCTTTTTCCTGAAGAAGATGCCATCCGCACTTGGCAAGCATAGCCAGGTTAGCCTGTCGAGTTGATTTGAGTCCCACTCCCCCTTGTGCTTTAGGCATCAAAAGTCTCTCCCAAGCAATGAGATGGAACTTTGGGTGGTTCTCCTCATCTCCCCAGATGAAGTCCCTGCTGATCTTATCGATACTCCTACAAGCCCCTGCTGACCTTTGAAATCTCGTATAAGGAAATTTTACATATTGGTTTATGATATATTTTTTCCTTCCCTTTCTTCATTTATCCCTTCAAAATATTTGCATTCTCCAAATAATAATTTATTATTATTATTTTGGTTAAGGATAAATATATTAATTGATATAAAATGAATTTTTTATTTAGCATTAAATATTAACAATCATGTTATCAAACAATAAATATTTTAATATAATTTTCACAATCTAGAAAATTACAATTATTACATTTTTGAGAATTCATTGATTAATACTCCAATTCTCCAAATTAATCATAACCTACTATTTGGTATAAATGAATTTCATAAGTTTTAAAATATACATTTTAAATGAAATATTTTTATATTTGGTATTTAAAAGAATTTATTTTCAATTCTAAATTAAATTTTACAAAATTGGAACTAACAATAGAAATTTTGAGAAATTGAGATGGAATTTTCAAATAAATTTCACAAGTATTTTTCTAATTATAATAGAATGACATAATTATTCTCATCTATTAACAACATTACTTCCACAGGACAATACACAGATTATGCAACCCTCCTCTTTTTGCCAGTATGTTAACCTAATATACATAGTTTCTCTTAAACTCTGCATTCTGGGATGACTTCAAATTTCATTATGAGGGCTAAGCGACAACCTGCTATTTGTTATTGGAACCAACTCTCTTGCTATTTCCAAATAATTGAATAATAACGTTTTTTCACTTGCATTTTTTAGAAGATGGAATTTCAAAGAATATTGTTTCTATCGAAAATTAATAAGAATGTAGTTGGACACTTTTAATTAAATTCACGTCTGAATGTTTGTCAAACATAGTCTTAAAATTTAATCCATTTTATTTCTAAAAATTTGAATATGACATACCAAATGCAAAAATTCATTTAATAATAAATTGCACAATAATTCATTTTAAAATGAAATGAATTAGTTTTATAAGTCTTAAAAATTCAGCATAAATTTAATATTTTGTTTGACGAACAACATAAAAACAATGTTGATGGCCGCTAATAATGAAACTTATCACAACCCCGCTTCATCGACAAATGCAAAGGTGGGGCCGGGGGGTGGGGATGGAATTCATCTCTTTGATGATTGAACGGTGACGCAAATCAACTTTTGGAAGCTCAATCAAAAGTAAGGTGCTAGCAAAGGCGAAGTAACTGCAGAATGGGACCTGACCTGGGCTGGGCATTCTCATTTTTTTCCCCCACTCCGTACTAAAATCGCGAAATGTACGACAAGAAATGTTACGTGCCCAACACAACCTTCCCCAACCTCAAGCAAAACCCATCTGATCTGATCTGATCTTGACCCACAACTCACCCCGCAACCAATTCCATCCCTTTCCCCTCCCACAATATAACTCTGCTTTCGCTCGGGGTCGAGCGATTTTGTAGCTCGAACCCACCAATCGGACGATCGATTCCTCCTCTATGGAGGAAGAGGATCGGCCGATCATTGGGTTTCCTCTGGGTTTGGTTCTTCTGCTGCTCATTCTGCTCTCCATGAGCGCCGTCTTCATCTGCTGCCTCCACTGGGACAAGCATCGTTCATTTCGGGACGTTCCTGATGATGATGATGATGATGATGATGATGATGAAACCCATGATTTTCCGCCACATAAATCTTCGCCTCTTCAACTGGTACGCTACTCGTCGTACTTCCTGCCAACTACTCGCCCCAGTTGCTCTGTTTTTCAGTTTTCTTTCTGCCCTTTGTGTGCAAAGTTGTAAATTGAGTCTTGGCCTTCTCTGTGGCATTTCGTCGAACAGAAAGCGAGCAAGAATCGAGGGGAGAGCCTGCCGGTGTTGATGCCAGGAGAGCAAGTGCCCAGATTCATAGCCATGGCTTGCCCCTGCCAGCCGCCGGTTCTGGAGACGATTCAATTGGATTTTGAGAAGCCCATCAGCACATTTCCCCTCCCTCCCCTGTTTTAGTATCTCTTCCATCGATATGGGTTTTGTCGTATATAGTCCGACTGTTACCAACTCTTCTTATGTACAGATATATGATTTTTGGGATTCAATTTTCTTCTCATCTTCGTGTTTGAAGAGCCGTAAGAATAAGAAAAAAGAAAGGGGCATATGGAAGGGAACCTTGAAACTTCCGCCGTACCAGTTACAAATTCTGTTCAGCTGCCGCTCACGGATTCAGAACACGAGACTTTCCGTCACTATCTCATGCTTCATCTCCAAACCCGAAAACCGAAATTTTCCGCGATCATAATGTTTTTAAGCTTCAAATTAATTATGCCAGTGTATATGACAGATAAAGGCTTGGATGAATTCAGATAAATAATTTATTTACTATCAACTTCCATTTCAATTAGGTAAAATTACATATCTAGGATCTGATATGGAGCTAACCGTTCTAACAATTTAATAAGGGTATTATAGTAACTACCATATATAATAGCTTCTTCATCCACCTCGTCTTGACGTCCTCCTCTCATTACTCTCTGACTCCCAATTCGTCTACTATCCTCACAGGCAAAATTGTGAGGACATCCTCACACGGCTAGGAATGCAGCACGTCTGGCAAGCCGGGAATAGAAAGCTGGGGAGAGATGGGTTTGGGGAAGGAGAGGAGCCAAGGAAACTAAGCCAACTGATCTACTTAAGCTAGGGGGAAGAAGTGGGGTCTGCCAGCAGAGGGTTTGGTTTTGCCGGGCAAATGAAATTTGCCCTCTCTCCCCTCTCATTTAATACAGCCACCTACCAAAAACTCACAACCTTCTTCCTGTCTTTCCCTGGGCGCTGCACATTTGCCCTATTTTACCCCGCCTCTGTCCTTAATTGGAAAGAGAAGAAGAAGAAGAACATAACACATTTCCAAATCTGGTATGGACTTCGACGACAAAGGGAGCCCTCAGCTCATAGTGAAGGGGAAGAGTGTTTTGAAGATGGACGATAACATGATCGAAGCTGATGAAGTCGATCTTTGAACCCAGAGATGGATGTCATCGATCTTGCTTATACCATCCTCAAAGTTTTTGGTGAAGATATAAATGACGGTTTGTGGGGCTCGCAAGAGTGGATTGATGTTTTTCAGCAGTGGAAGGCAATGCAGTCAAAAACGAGTTTCTATGTAGAAACATTTTGGTGATCTAGAAACGTAAAATCGTAAGTTTTAAAGCGGATTTTTTAACTATATAAGTTATAAAAATAGAGATTTTGTGTAGAATTGTTTTAGTAACCTAGAAACGTAAAATCATAAGTTTTTAAGTTTTAATGTGCGCTTTTGACTACATTGGTGGAATGGAGTATGTGAAGACAAGAACTCAACCTTGCTTGTTCACTTTACTTATATATATGTACTGGTGTGTTGGTTGTTGTTGAGCATTGAATGAATGTGGTTGTTTAGTTAAATGCTGTAGGGTTCAGGGTTGACATTTATTGTGCCATGTTGTGTTTTTTTACATGCATGAAGAAATGTTCGTGAACAAAAGAATTTGTTCATCAATCGTAGTTGGTTTGTATATGAATATATGTTGGGTCGTGGGTGAATATATAAGTTGGTTTGTAGATGAATATAAGTTAGTTTCTGGATGAATATATGTTGGTTCGTGGGTATATAGAACTTGGATTGTTGTTGAATATAAATTCGTTTGTGGAGGGTGTAGGATAGGGTAAGTATTTCAATATCAACCCAGACGGTTTATCTATCCTTCAATTGTTCACACGTTATCAAGTAATCGAAATGTGATTAAGGCTTAGGAAACTAGTTATTAAAACAAACAAGCAAGTAAATTTTGGTGAGTTCGATTTGAGAAAGCATCACTCTAACATGGATCCCCCTAGTCTTGTGTCAAGATTCAACGAATGAAACTCTAGTGTGATGGGTATGATCATACAACATGAGGATTTTTCAATTAGTTAGGTAACCTTAACCCTCTCAATTGATCAATTAAGGATTGTCACTATTAGGTAGGAAACCCAATACCTCTTAATCGATCAACCAAGGTTCACAAAACAAATCCCTCGAACGTTAATTCGAAATGGCTAAAAGTAAACAGTGAAGACGATATCATGGCACTATTTTGATGAATGAAGAATGGCTTGAATTGACCTAGGGAAGGTTACCTAAATTGCCAAGATTGGGCTACAAGGGGATTTCCTTATCTTAGGTCAATTGTCCCAAAATTGAGTTATGAACAATCAACTCCCAAATTCCATCAATAATACCTCAAACATTATATAAAACACAAATCCAACACACATAGAGTCAATTCCTACAATCTAATACATCCTAGACTAGAGTTCACAACATCCTAGACTAGAGTTCACAATTGGAGATGACTCCATAGCTAAAGGAGGAAACACAAATAAGATAGAGGAAAAAACCATTACAAAGTGATCTTACTTTCTCTTAAATGCTTGATTCCACCTTGGGAGAAGAAATTAACCTTCCTTTAGCATTGGGCAGGTGAACATCTTAATCCTCCTTTTTTAGCTCGTACCTCTCTCTCTAACCTTTGAATAAGAAACTACAATATCTCTCTAAGACCCCATTTGAACTAAGCTAACTATCCCTTTGATAGTCACCGAGTGCACAAATCACAGTCCGAGATTACCCCCATGAAGTTGACAGGGTGACCATGATCTCGGCGCAAAATGAATGGTATTACTTACGATCTTCAATGGCCGCTTGCTAAAACTATGATTTGCGACCATGATCCAGACACTGCCCGCAAGCGGTGTCATTCGACACCATATCCCATAGCATGTCGCTTCCTCGTCCCCTATTCATTCCTTGACAGTCACCTCTGACTCCGGAATGGTGTACAACTTTAAGTAGTTGTCCCCTGAAAAATAATTGAACCTTTGAATTATTGAAAGAATCAGAACAAGATTTTCGGCAGGGAAAAATGATTTCGAGCGATGGGGGCAGGATGAATCCAAATCTTACAGATTGCTCTTGATGTGCTAGAACTCCAGGACTCTTGGGTCGTCCCGGTAGATTACACGGTTGTCGGCGGCTTGGATCCGCAGCAATTCATTGGGACTGTCAGCTGCAAATTTTTATATATTTTTTTGGTGTTTCTATATTTTTCATAATAATGATCAAAAAGAAAAAAAAAAGAACAAATATCCAAAGAGATGATAGTCCAGAAGAGTTGAACTACTCATCGCCATAAAAACAAAAGGAAAAACTCAAAAAAGTGGATCATACCACCCCAAAGAGAAAAGTAAAAGAAAAACGAGAGAACTGTAAAGAACAACTGCCAGCCAAGCTGAATGGGCTGAACCATTCTTGCCAAGAAGAAAGGGATGAGAGAAACACCTCTCTCATATCAAAACAAGAAAACAAAGAACAACCATACACAAAGGAACGAAACAACTCAGCAACTAACAATGACACCTTCAACATCACCACTAGGAAGACTTGAGCATCATGCGCCCCCTCGCCAAAGAAGGGGAAGACAGTGGCCCCAAGCCACACATTCTGGCACAAAACACAACAGACGAAACCACAGGACCTGCACAGAATGAAGCCACAATAGTGGCACAAAGTCCGCAAACTACCATAACAGATCCGATAGCCTAGATTCTCTGCACCGTCTCCTCAAACCATTGCGTTCCTTGAGTTTTATCCAGCTTGCCACGTGCAACAGGTCACTCCATTGCGTCCTTTAAAGTCTTATGAGCAACGACCCTGAGCTGCACATGAGTACCATTACAAATTAGTTGATTTCTTTCAACCCAAATATGCCAGCACACAGCGTGCAACGCGCCATATTGGATCCAGCTCTCCACGTTTCATGCAGAAATAGTGGACCGCCTGGAAATGGCCACAAGTATGTACCTTGTCGGGCCTCAATGATTTCGCAAGCTGATCACTTGAGTCCATGCAGATTATTGTCAATGGTTAGCACATGTCAACAACTACCCCATCCTAAGCCAAGTTTAACTTAAGAGGGCATTATCGTATAGTGGTAATTAAGGTTGTATTTTACTCAATTTCTCGTACCCTAGCCTACTTCCCACCTAGTTGTTAATTAATTAATCGGTTTTGCAGGTTTGAGTGGGGGATTTGAGGGAATCACTAGTTTAGAGACCGAATAAAGCTAAAGGCAGGTACTTCGGGGGAACTACCCACACCCTGGCCTAGGGCAACTATGTAGATCTAGATACTTAGGGTTATCGAATGTGGTGAGTGAGCTCGTTTCCGTGGGCTTTTGTGGTTATCCACATACCTCCCCTAGACCTATATAAAGTCAACTCGATCTAGGATATCGTATCTGGGGCACTAAGCTCATAGCTCCTTTCAATGGATACTATCCACCATCCACACCGAGGTTTAATATCAAGTTCTATCTAGGAAGGCTACCTATAGCAGGGGTTTCGTCGCCTCGACCACCTTAGGTCCCTATTCATCCATCTACCTCGATTTGCTTGATGGTGCATACTCGTTTAACCCTAGAACTCCATACCTAGCGTAGAAGCGTAAAGTAGGCTAATAGAGAAGATTAGGGTGACTTACCCAAAAAGAATTAAAGATAGAATAGTAATAGAATCAACTAGATAAACACATTCATTCATTCAAATCCTAAAATATCCATACTACATAGTAAACCCTAAAACTAGGGTTTGGGGTTTAGAACCCCTAGTACCTTAGAGGACTACTCCATAAAGGAGGGAAGAAGATACACAGAAGAAATTGAAGAAGACTTGAGGTTGAGGAAGGTGCCTCCTCTCTTCTAGCTCCTTCTCCTCTTCTCCTTCCTTTAGTTCTCTCTCTTCTCTCATTCTGAAAAAAGAAATTCTTCTCTCAAAATCAACTCATCTAAAATGGGGAAAGGGGTCTCCTATTTATAGGCAATCAAAGAACGGACAAGTTTGCGGCCACAAGGGCAGAGATCGCGGGCGGGATCTTCAGAGGAGAGGTCGTGATCTTGAAACTAGTCGTACTGGCCTTCGGAATTGTGGAGATCGCGGGTGGACTTCGTAGTCGTGATCCGCAAGGAACGTCCGCGATCTTTCTTGCGGTCAAAATGCACTATGACCGTGATTCGACTGGGGAAACTCATTGTTTTTTCTCGACTCTTTCTTCATGAAGTTCGTGCCCTGAGCCCTCCAATTCACGGTCGCAATCTTGGGCTTCCAGGCTGCAATCTTCAGCTTGTCTTCGCGGTCCAGGATCTCGACCGTGATCTTTACTTCTAGGCCACGATCTTCAGTCTTCTGCCCCCTTGTTATACTTGTGATCTTGTTTTGTACCTAATTTGCATATATCGTCTAACACACCCTAAATCACATCGAATTGAAATAAAACGAAATAGGGATG